TGTTGAATAAATTATTATTATTATTATTATAAATAAAATGTTTTTGTTACATGCTTTATACGAATAATCTGTCATCGTCAATGTACCGGATAAAATAATAATGAGCAATGAACATTCACAGAGGTTCCTTACACAGACAAAGCAACGTTTGTTATTGTTCCACTTTGTGTGAGTATATAGGACGTCAAACATGCTTTGTTCATAATTTAAACATAAAATGTTATAATAATTACTTGTGCTCTAATACATACTTCAGTACTTATCAATTAGTTATAATTATTATTAATTTAGTAGGCTATGTAAATATAATGAAGTACAATGACATAATGAAGTATAATGAAGTAAATAATATAATGAAGTACAATGACAAATGGATTTTACTATGTCAAAACAGCGACTTTCTCATTTAATTAATCATATTTTATAACGAATAACATGCATCGATATAGACGTGATTATTGAAGTTTAAAATATTTTAATTTATAACGCAATAGCGTATGTACTTCTTTTTCTTCGAGTACCAGCCCTATTGGAGGTTGTATAACATTATTATTATTATTTCAGCCGTTAACTGTCTATTGCTAGGGGGAAAGGGATTGTTAGTAATGGAGACTGAGAATCCCATTGTTAGCAATATACCCAAGCAGGCCGACCTCCTCGCGGTTCTCTCTGGAAACTATCATGGTTAATTCCTGATGAATTCATCATGATAGGCTAACTGGCCTGTTTTCATTCTCATCTATCACCCTTCACTGAAGCTCCGCCAGCGTATCCCGTTAGCGCAGACGGGGTTACCATACCATTTTCACCCATAAAAAAAACTGTCCACTGCTAAACATAGGCCTTTCCCACGAGGGGAGCTTTGCCAATAGTTGATACACTTGGCAGGTGAATTGGCAGCTGCAGTCACGCCTGGTGATGTTTTAAGAAGGACGCTGCTGCCCATCCCTAGATCATGGTCGAGGGATAACATTAAGGCAATCTTAATTCTTAAAGTTGGCTCTCTGTAAAGCGAGATGGTGCTGCTACAGCCAACTTCTTTTTGTAAGTCGGTTAAAAATAAAATTAAAAAAAACTTCAAAAATAATATAAAACTTAATAAGAGTAGACCCTATCGATTACACAAACAATTTTTTTTTTTTTTAATATTAAGATTACAAAAGTCAAAGATCACATGGGATTAAATAATTAAATTTAATACTGTATTCATCACACCATACATGTCTGCTTCCGTTGTAATATTATGACCAATTGTTACATGCGCGAATGTGTGACCACACATTACTTCGTTTAATTACTGTAATATTATGAAAACAGTCTGGGAATTATAATAATTATGAAGTCTTATACATTATGCACAAAAGGCGCAAACCTACTTTGTCGATTTTGAAGTCTTTTTTTTTATACAACTTAGTATGGCAAACAAGCTGACGGTCCACCTGATGGAAAGTGGTAACCGTCGCCTATAGACATGAGCAGTACCATGGACATAACAGAGTATACTGTTTCGCCCATGATACCCCCCATGCGTTGCCATTCCTGAGGTGTTATTCCTCTGTACCCAGTAAATTCACGCCATATCCCACCCTTCAAATCGAAACACAGCCATGCAAACACAACTGCTTCACGGTTGAAACACGAATGGGACAGAGGTACCCAAGCAATCGACTTTTGTACAAAGTCTCCCTCTTTTTAATTCTAAATAGTGCTTGCTACTGGTGAGTTCGGCTCCCCATAAGCGCATTGTATAGCTTACTACCTTAACCTACTACGTATACGCATACTGCAACTGGATAGATGCATTTTTTTTATTTGCATTACTTACTGTACACAAACAACAACAGACATAGATGCACAGTGAAAAAAGAAAAAAAAATACGTATACAAAAAAAAAAAAAATAAAAACAAAACGCATAAAATTAGTAACAATTTTTCCCTTCATGCGTCATTTGATATTTACAGACTTTTGTTTCTTCTTTTCCTTTTCTCTATTTCTTCTCTCTTTGTTCCTTTAGACAACTAAGATATCTTGGGAATACAGAGGATTGGTAACACGTTATTCTTATTAATGTCCTAACATTCGTATGATCCATTAAAAAAAAATATTTTTTTGTAGCTAAAAATCGGTTACACAATTTATTATACAGTGATTACTACACTAGGCTCGCAGGCCTGTATCGTAGTAGTCAGTGAATGGCTAATTTAGTTCATATTTATTGCCATTTACAGTCCGGTTCCTGTACAATTTTATCATTTAGGTACTCGAAAATTAAAATACATTTGAAATTAAATAAAAAAAATAAAATACATAACTAAACAAGAAAATTAATTCACACATTTATTATTTTAACCAGTAACTATCCACTGCTGGACATAAGCCTTCTTCATAAGGGAAGTTTTGCCAGTAGTTGCCATAATTGGCAGGCGGGTTGGCAACCGCAGTCAGGCTTTTAAAGATATTTTAAGAGGACGCTTCTGCCCATTCCCCAACTATAAGTTTCCTTAGTCGCCTCTTACGACATCTACGGGAAAGGAATTGGTGGCCTATCCTATATCAGGATACATACGGCAAATTCACACATACTATTTGATTATTTTACGTAGCGTAACATAAATTACGACTTTTATATAATAATGTCTTATAGTACTCACCAAGACGCGTGGGACACTGACAGTTCCCATCGTGCTGTTTTGCTTCAAAACGGAGTATGCACTGTTTTAAAGAAATACAAAAGCATAAACATGTGCTCTGTTCTCATAACATTATGATTTAATTTTCCGTAGCAATGTTTAATGCAGTTTATAAAGCGTTTAATTCGTGTGCGTATTTATGTTACGCATTGTGTGTATCACACGTTTGTTTGCAAAATGAAATTATTTGCGCTGATATATATTTTTTTTATGGATGGTAATGAAATGGTAACCCCGCCGGTGCTAGCAGTATACGCTGGCGGGGTACCAGTGAGAGATAATCGACGAGGATGAAAAGACAGGTCCGTTAGCCCATCGTGACAAATTCAACTATAAATTTATTTCGATGGTTTCCAGGAGGAACCGCGTGGAGGTCGACCTGATAGGGGATATATTAATATCAATGGGGACTAACCTCCCGCTTTATAAAAATCCTTTTCCCCTGCGCAGATGTATTGAGTTTACCAGCGGTGTTATTGTTTAAAAAATTCGTAGCTGACTTCAGAACTGCACCTCTGGCTATGCCAAGGTCCAGGGTTTTTATGGACCCATTGAACAAACAGAGCCAGTAAATCAAATTTGAAAATAATGCAGAGAAATTTCTTCTAAATAAAGAAGCAGGGGGAGAAAGGAGTGTTAGTAATGGGGACTAACGGCCCCATTATTAGCAATATATACCTTATCAGGTCGACATCTACGCGGTTCTCTCTGGAAACCATCGGTTTATAATTGTCGAAATTATGAGGTAACAAACATAAACCAAAGGGAGACTTTGTACAAAAGTCGTTTGTTTGGGCAACTCTGTCCCATTCGTGTTTCTATCATGAAGCTGTTGTGTTTGTATGTCTGTGTTTGGATTAGAAGGGTAAAATATCGCAGTGGATTTACAGAGTACATAGAAATAACACCTGAGTCCTCAGGAATAGCAACGCATGGGGGGTATCATGGGCGAAACAGTATACTCTGTTATGGCCATGGTACTGCTCATGTCTATAGGCGACAGTTATCACTTTCCATCAGGTGAACCGTCAACTTGTTTACCATTCTAAGTTACATAAAAAAATACAACCGAATTGAAAATCTTGTATTTGTAGTAAGTTGTAAATGTATATACTCTACATATCATAGAGGCATTTGTATTTTACCAATAGGTATAGGTACAACTCTTTCGACCTACTGCAGTGAAGCGGTTTCCCACGTACGAACAATACGAATTCTATGTAAAACATATGTCATACAGAAGTTTGAAAACAATGCTCCTTTCGCTTCCTACACGTCGCCCGCAAAACACTGTAACAAGCAATAGAACATTAGCGTTATGTGATTGACGAATGTTTTGTGGTGGAATTCTCCGTCTCATTTTGTTCCGTATCTCACTCACTTACTTCCTACTAATTAATAAGGTAACTACAAACTTATGGCAACATAAGATTTTTTTTTGATGAGTGAAAATAGTATGGTATCCCCACCTGCGCTAACAGGATACGCTGGCGGAGCACCAATGAAGGCTGATGAGAATGAAAACAGGCCAGTTAGCCAATCATGATGAATTCATCAGGAATTAACCATGATAATAATGTATTTTTTTGATGAGTGAAAATGGTATGGTAACCTCGCCTGCGCTAACTGGATACGCTGGCGGAGCACCAGTGAAGGGTGATAGATGAGAATGAAAACAGGCCAGTGGGCTAACTGTTTAATTCATCAGGAATTAACCATGATAGTTTCCAGAGCGAACCGCGAGGAGGTCGACCTGGTTGGGTATATTGCTAGCAATGGGATTCTCAGTCTCCATTACTAACAATCCCTTTCCCCCCGGCAACATAAGATTTGATTCGACGGTCCTATAATAGTAGTAACATACTCGTAAATGCAAAAGATTGTATGTATGGATGCACGCATAAACTACTGAAAATATTTGAATGAAATTTGGTACATGAATAGCTTATCTCATAAGTCATCATATCAGTCATTAACTGTCCATTGCTGGACATAAGCCTTTCCCATAAGGGGAGTTTTGCCAGTAGTTGCCATGCTTGGCAGGCGAATTGGCAACCGCTAGTTAGGCTTTCAATAATATTTTAAGAGGGATGCTGCTGTCTTGTTGCTACTCCACTATTAGGTTCCTTAGTTGCTTCTTGACACACACAAGAAAAGAAGCCCATTCTATGCCGGAACTACACGACCATCTTTATTTGTCTGAAAACAGAATACTTACAGTTTCATAGACGAAGTCGCGGCATACAGCTAGTATATACTAAATACATGTATTAGAAAATTTTATTAAGATGCATATTATTTTGTTTCAGAATCTTCACTCGTTTTTCCAGTAACTTAAATCAGGTAAGAAGTCAGATAATTTTTTTATCAACCTAGAATTGCAGTATACTGTATATAGTTATGTAGTATATATATATATATATATATATATATATATATATATATATATATATATATATATATATATATATATATATATATATATATATATATATATATATATATATATATATATATTATATATATATATATATATATATATATATATATATATATATATATATAGATTTTTTAAATATATTTTTTTTACAATCTGAAACCTAGATAAACTTGAATTTTTTGATATATTTTATACGCATTATGATTAATTAATATTTATTTACTAAGATTGTACACCGCTCAACCCGCTGACATTAATGCTCCTTTCCACTTTGTTACTCTTTGATTACCTCTGTCATATTCTTATAACTGGTGTGTACAATAAAGTTTTTTTTTTTTTATACAACTTAGAATGGCAAACAAGCTGACGGCCCACCTGATGGAAAGTGGTAACCGTCGCCTATAGACACGAATAGCACCATGGACATAACAGAGCGTACTGTTTCGCCCATGATATACGTTGCCATTCCTGAGGACTCAGGTGTTATTACTCTGTACCCTGTAAATTCACGCCATATCCCACCCTTCAAACCGAAACACAGTCATAAAAACACAACTGCTTCACGGTTGAAACACGAATGGGACAGAAGTACCCAAGCAATCGACTTTTGTACAAAGTCTCCCTCTAGTAAAAAATAAATAAATAAATAAGATTAATAATCTTTGATAATAAGTATAAGGATAAAAAGTAGCCTGTATCCTTCTTCATGCCATATAATACATGTATACCGAATTTTATAGTGTTCAGCCATAAAGACGATATAAGGTAATAAACTAACAAATGAAACTCATTTTCACATTTATATTATAATATTAGTAAGGATAAACTGTGCCCGCTACATAGCTCGCGTGCTAGTCTAAATTAATATTCACTTTAGTTTTAGTTCTATCATAAAAATGTAAACATAAATCCAAAACCATATTTGAAAAACCGGCTAGTCCAGTTACCTCATGGTCCATCTCCGAACTTAGCACATAATGGTTGGTAACGAAACAAAAAAAAAGCGCCAAACCTGATTATCAACTATACCTCTGTTAGATGTATAAATTCGTTACTTATTTAAACATAAAAAAAAAAAATATTCTAATGGTATCATCATCTGCAATTTAAAATAGCTTGGTTAAAAATAGCTTTTTTATTTTATTTGATATCCTATTTATATGATTTTAATAATAACATTGAGACTGTTACATTTACTCGATTTAAAAAAAAGTAAGATTATTCATTTTTTTTTTATTCGTATATTTAAACTCTCATCTTCAAATCAAAATCAACTTTTTAATCGATAAAACATAATAAAATAAAAAAAAAGAAAACAAAACTTTGATTTTATAAATCACACAATTCATTCCATTATCTTCACTCGTGTTTATGAAAGAGAGGGAATCAGTATATAACTATTAAAAAAAAAAAAACAATAAAATACATTTTATGTAATTCTAAATTATTGTAATTAAACAGATGTCAAATATACAGACAAAAAAAAAATATTAGCTACTTCTTCTGTTTACGTAACTACTTAAAAAGTTCTACTTTCGATTTATAAAAAAAAATTGCAAACTCTTAAATTTTACTGTTATATACATATACATCAATATGTAAGTTATAATACAAAAGTGTAAACGCATATGTTGAAAGAATTTTAATCGGATGCTGCTGTAAACAGTACGGACCATCAACTTTTACCAATACAAAAATGTCGATGTGATTATTAAAAAAAAGCCTTCATAAAATTGTACGATGTCTCTCTTAATTAAATGGCGGCATCTTAAATGTCAAAGAAAATGGCGGTACACTCCCTGTTGAATATCGTTATATGCATTAACCTGTACCGATACGTCGATATATATAAATATTTAAAGAGTATATATATAAAAAGTATTATGTAGTGTAGACTTTGTATTCAATCTTGAAGTCAAACATTACGAAAACTGTTTTCATTAAAACAATTAAAGTAATACAAAATTATATTTTTAATAATATATATAGAACAGGTTAACTGAAAAAAAAATTGCATTGTTATATACAAGAGTTGAAACAAAACTATGTCAAAAATGTTTAAATTTAGACGACATCTAAAAAAAATTTAATCAAAATCAGTAAACCCACATATTTTTTTGTTGTGATAAAATACATGAATTGAATTAATATAAATTATAAAATTAACACTAGTTACGGAGTCAGGATTACATGTATTTGATTCATTTATTTTTTTATACGACTTAAAATAGCAAACAAGCTGACGGCCCACCTGATGGAAAGTGGTAACCGTCGCCTATAGATTGTTCAATAAACGTTAAATATGCAACAAAATTTTTATGATGAATTAATCATATTTAACTTAACAACACATGTTTAATATAACACATTGTATACCTATTTAAACTGTCTGTAACTATTAAAAAAAAAACATTGAATACGAATTATAAAAAATATAATGTTTTAAGAACTTTTTCGACAATTATTATATTTATTATGTATTGTAGTTTATATAATATATGTCCGTCGTTTGAATCTTATTTGAAAAATACTTTTTTTTTTTTTTATTGGAAAGGGTATTCTTACAAATTTGTCCCAAAGAAATTTTATCCAAGTTGGAATAAATTTAAATCAAATTAGCTAGGTTTTCCACAATTGAAGTCAGTTGTTTGTGGAATACAATCTTAATTATATCATTGTAATACACAATTATTTAAATAATAATGATAGAATTACTTCAATTATGGTTATTTCAAGAGTTATAACGAAGCCCCTCAAAAATTTGACGACGAAATAAAGTGCATAGTTGCTGGCATACTTTTATAAAGCGTAGGTTTACTTTATAAAATCAAAGGGCTCGACGTATCTCTTATATAAATTTGAATTAATCTTCATTTGTAAACTTATGTAATATACATACATACAGGTAATATTTATTACCAGAAATGTAAAGTAAAATAACTGTTGAATAATACATTTTTTTTTATTAAATAGTATACAGAGAAAGTAGTTTGATAGTGTTTATTCGAGGCATTTAGATAGTTGATGTACTAGTGTCGCTAATACTGGTAGTCTAAAATAAAATACTAGGCACATAGTTAATATTCAGGTGTATTGAAATAATAATTATATTTATTATGTAAGTAGTTAAATAATACATGTCTACTCGACTTATGCACTGAAAGTCATACATAAAATTTTTTGAACACCTGCAATACCAGGGGCATTACGCGCGCGTTGCTGACCCTGAAGAAACCTCTTTACACCCTTTTTGAAGAACCCTATGCTGTAGTCTCTTGGGAAAACCTCGGCAGAGAGCTCGTTCCATAATTCACAGATTGTCATATTTACTGATATTATTTACAACTCCGGTTATATTATATGTGTATTTCCAAAATATTTGTAGTCTATTATTACTTGATTTTTTAAAATTGTATTTCTTTTCATTCTGTATAATTATGTTAAAGTAAATGCTGTGAATATGTAAATGGAAAGGATAAGCTGGACAGAAAAACTAACGAACGAGGAAGTCCTAAAAAGAGTGAACTAGAAGAGAACATTGGTTGAAATAAATAGAGAATAGAAGAGGCAAAATGCTGGGCCACCTTATACGACATGACGATTTTTTTAAGAACATAGTAGAAGGAAAGATAGAGGACAAAAGAGGAAGAGGAAGACCGAGGAATAACTACATGGGACAGATAAAGGAAACACTAGGTGTCATGTCGTATAGGGAGATAAAGGATATGGCCTGGGATAGAGCTGACTGGAGGAAGATGCATGAATTAGTTGCACCGACAAGAGGAAACTCTTAAATGAAAAAAGAAGAAATGCTGTGAATACATTTAATATGCATGTGCATTAATATTGTATTGTATTTAATATTTTGTTATATATATTATAACGCAATATGCTGTTGGTGTTCTAATATAAATAATAAAGATAGCTGGCGACAATGGGTTCGATTCTGAATCGCCATTTTGTATACGTATCTCTTAATATTTTAATTTGGTGTTTACGCAAAATTACTACTTTATAGACCATAATAAATTAAATTTATAATAATTTTGTTTTAAATCTATTAGAAGTTTAGTTCATATTGGTTCTTAAAATAAAGATTTCGGTGCAATATCAAATTGAAATTCCAGTTAGAGATAAATTCAGAGAAATAGAAATCGAGATAATAATCTCTACTTTGCCTGGAAAAGGCATACAATTCATAATAGTACGAATATAATTTCAATTATTTTTTAAATTAAAAAGTTTGAATTCTCGAAAAGGTATATTGTTTGAATAGATTAAGGATAGTACCTAATTTTTTTCATTGAGACTTATAAAATACTAAGTAGGTTCATTTAAACTATTATTTTTTAAATTAAAAAGTACTTAAATACTTAAATATTAGGTATTAAAAAAACGATTATATGAAATTTCATCCATTAAACCGTTTTTTCGATCGAGGTTAATAAACTGCTTTGTTTATCGTAATCAATACAGATATAAAATACAAGGACAAATTGCCTATAGGATTGTATCTAAAATTAAACTCAGTTTAACTGTAATGACAAATCGTCAAGTCAGAACACATGTTTTGCGATCATTATTGACGTCAGCAGAAGACTGATGAAATGGCATTCAAGCTGTAAATGCTGGTTTATTTTTACTTTTTAACTTTGTTTATAAGTGCAACAGTTTTGTGTTTTCTACACAATGCAATGCATTCATACAACAAGCATTATCTTTTATAAACTGCAATTAAAAAGTGTGTATCGATCTATGTACTTATATGTTTGTATATGTAGTTTATTAACAATATCATTTAAACATGAAAAAGAAAAGGAGAAAAAAAGGTTCTTGACTGGCGACCCCGTACAGGCAAACGCAGTTTACGACGACCCCCACTAAATCGAGTCAGTGGATGCAG